TTAAAATTGCAGTTCTAAGCACACTCAGAGATACCTCTTAGAAAACATTCATAGGATGATCGCTAAATAGTAGTTAAAAGTGGTGTGAAAGTGGTGTACAATCTTTCTTTTTCCACCCACTATTATCTCTCATTAGACAGGTTCCACTGGCTCTAAAAACTACAATGTGGACTTGACAAAGGGATAATGGCTGAGTCCATTTCTCTACACTTTGCACGCTGAAAAATATGTGATCTAAAACATCTGGCCAAGTGGCAGAGGAAGTCTAAATCTGTTTAAGCAATAAAGGTGACTAACTAATCTCAATTGCCTTTCAGTAGAATGCTGAATTGTCTACATCAGAACAGTCTTTTCGTACTATTGAAGCAAAGCACTATTAAATTGCCCTTACCTGTATGGGTCCGAAGATGTGCTTTGAGGTGAGAGCTCTTTGTGTATGTTTTACCACAGCCTGCGTATTCACAGGTGTGTGTGGCAGTCCTTTTCCTGGGCCATGACCTCCGTCCTCTCTTGGGCTTGGTCTCTTCAGAGAGGCAGCTCCCCGAAGGCATCAGCTCTAGAGGTGAAGAGGGCGGAGTCAGCACCATCCCTTGTACCAAGCGAGGCATATTTAAAGGCTCTCCAAAAACATTTAGATAGTAAGACTGACCTTGATACTGAAGGGCGTTGGGTGGCAGCTGCTCTGGAAGAAAAGGAGGGTAGGCAGGGCCAGGATGGTAGCCTGGAGGAAGTGGAAGAGTTGAATGACTTAAGCCCTGGGGGGAAGGGTGGCAGTCTCTAGGAGACATCATCTCCTCTGGAGTTAAGGGAGGATTAGTCCTACTAGGTAACGGCCGACCCAAAGAGAAGTCATGCGGCTGGGCCCTTGGACTATTCCCATGGGATTGGCCCATGGTGCATGAAGGGGCTGCCTCTTGCTTGATTTTGGGGCACATTCTTGGCACATGGTTGTACACTGCAGGGGGCACAGGTCCATCTGTGCAGGGGGAAGCTGCAGAAGCAACACTGTTTTTGATGTGGTTATTGCATTCTCCCATGTTCACCGTAGCCTTCAACACAAATTTCCCATGAAGGCTGCTTAGTGGAAGAGGTGGAGGAGGAGGTGGCTGCTGGGTCTGCTGCTGTTGCATATAAACAGGGTCCAGATCTGGCCTCATCAGTTCAGCTACAAATCCACCCGAAGGGGATACGTCATTTATATCAGCCAGGTTGAAAGGGGCAGCTGGAACATGTTCTCTAGTGTACATTATACCTCCAGGGTGATCTTCCCTTTGCAGCTGGTAGGAAAAATCACAGGTGGTCAGAGGAGGACAGGTGCTACTTGTGACAGAGGGTGAAGAACCAGGAGCACTCACAACGGCAGCAGCAGCTGTGGGCTGCTCCTGGGGCATCAGGGAATTCGACAAAATGAAATCAAAGTCCAGAAGTTCATTCAACTCCTCCGTCTCCCGCCTTGACATAGTCCCACTGTTGCCGTTTGTGGTGTTTTCCAGCTCAGAAGAGAAGTCAAAATGCCGTCCTGTCAGTACAGGGGGGATCCGCTTGAGGTGAGAAAGCTCCTCCCTCCACTTCTGTGTGAAGAAGATAAAAATGTAGCATTAATGGAAAGTCTCCTTTTGTTTGCTGGCAAAATCAACTAAGATGTCAAGTAGACCTTTTAAGTCAAGAAAAGCACAAAAAACCCCAGGTACTAGATATTAATAGACATACAGCAAAAAAAATCCTTAAATGCTTAAAATATGACTCTTTGGATCGTATAATTGAGTTGGCAACTCTACCATATTGCCACTGGGTTAGTAGTCATTTTTTTAACAAAAAAACCTCCTCTGTATACATTTGAAACAGTGGTTGTATAGCTTAAAGAAATCTACTGCTGAAAAGTGGAGCTATGAAATTAAATATGCAATATTGAGGGGGTATCTTTGAGAAAAACTGACTTAAATAACCTGATTACAAAAATATATGCTAGGAATTTTCTCTCAAAAATCTGCTACATGAGTTTTTAGGGCCAGGTGTAAAATATTTCCAAACTATCACACGCTGACACAGAACTGCTCATTTTTCCTTCTCCATTTTGTGCTATGTGATTTTTAGGGGGACATAAAATAGCCCTAGTTTATGAGCTTATGCCAGAATTTTAACTGTCAAGTCTGAAACTACAGGGCTTAACTAACTCATTTTAAAGCCATAATTATTAGTGTTTAGCATGAGCAGCATTCTGCTCAAAAGTCACAAGATAAAAATAAAGGCATTACTTTGCAATCCTATCATTAGCTTATACTTATTATACTGCGTCTGTATATAGGTTATATGTACATTTCCAGTACTTTTATCTATGTATTAAAGCTTTCTTCCAGACCCAGTAAATGTGATAAATATACATGACAGACCCCCCCCCCCCAAAGCGGTTTTGGTGTAGTCACAGATTTAGGAAAATACAAATAAACTGATTTTGCAATAACTGCACATGCCACATTAATGCATTAGATTACACTCATTAATAATTAGGCACATGTAGGCGTTTTCTGAGGTTTCATGCATTATACAATAGCAGCTAGAGAAGCAAGGCATCAGCCTGAAACGATACAAAGAAAAGCTAACCTAGGCACATGAGTAGGTGTATATATTTCCAGAGGCTGCCAATGTATTAAACATCTCCATCCACACCCATGATTTTGGTTTGTGATACGCCACATACTTCAGTTTCTTATTTAATTCATTGTATTCCTTCATGGTATATTTTCCTATCCATGGGTGTTTCCTCTCACTTCACACAAAATGCTGATGTTTAAACTCAAAGCAAAATCTATGCCTACACAAATGGTAAAGACGTTTTTGGCACAATCCAAGAATTGAGGGAAAAGAAACAAACAAACAAAAAAAACCACTGCTACATTTAAACGGCACACTGAACTACAACTAGCAAACCACATTTTAGCCAAATGGATTGCCAAACCCAGCCCAGGAGTTTAGCTGATGGTTCCTTGTGCTGGGCAAACTCAGAAAGTCTGAATGAGTACATCATGATTAAGTTAGCCATGGTGAATTTGGGGCTAGTGTGCACCCAATGTGGATTTGTGTGTTATGTTTTTAGTAAGACAGTTAATATCTGGATTACCCGGGAGAGAAATCTCATATTCTCATAGATAAGTGTACCTATAAAACTATACCACGAAAGTTAGAATGACTTCCTTTACTTTTTTTTAAAGCCTGCTTCCTGTTTTATAGTAGGCATAGCTGCACCAGGGAAGAACTTTTGTTTTATTTCTGGAAATCTGATTAGAATTCTGGTCAGAATCCAATTGCTTTCCAGATTCTAGGAGAACATGTTTCTTTGGCTCCATTTTTTGTCATTTGAGCCTTTAAAAAAAATCAATCCCCCCCCCCCCAAACTGTTCATCAACACCCAACTGCTTTAAAAATAATAATAATAATAATTTAAAAAGCCTCCCTAATTGGAGAGCTTTTTTCCAGCAAAGCGAGGGGAGGATTTGCCGCGTTATACAGTACTTTCTCAGGGTGGCACAAGAAGCTAACTCTACACCTGTTCAAGCCCATTCTCATGCATATATATATATATATTCTCATTCGAGTGATGTTGGGGCTAAAATTCCTTCCACACGCTGCAGAATTATTCCTCCGCTACACCCAGCCACCCCGGCGAATACTCACGTTGTGGCCACCTGCTTGTCTCAAGGCTTTTTCCCTGCCGGCCGTGGCCGCCGTGGCGAAGGTGGAGATGGAAGGGAGGAGGGTGCCGCTGAGTGCCATGTCAAACTCGCCGGGGGGCGGCTGCCTGCAAAAACGTCAAAGGGAGAGTAAAGCGACCGACGGAGGGACGGCTGCATCTAAGAAGGAGGGAGCGAGGGAAGGAAGAAGGGAGGGAAGGAGGAAGAGCAGCTCCGCCGTTGGATACTGCACACTGAAACTTTTTAATTCCAAGTTCGGGTCGAGGCAAGGAAAAAAAAAAGAATAGACAAAAAGGGGGTGGGGAATGCCACCCACCTCATTAACGTGTCAAAAGCCACTGCGTGATCGGAAGGCACAGAAAACGGCTATCTAGTTTAACCTAGTTGTGGATAAATATAGATATAGATATACACACACATATATGTATATACACACGCCGTATATTGCAAGTGAAATAGTCACGTTGAAAGCAACAACAAAAAGTCCTTTGGAGGAAAGGCTGCGGAAATGTCTTGCAGCGAGCGGCTCCTACGAGGAAGAGGAGGAGAAACCCCGCCAGGGAGTAGCAGCAGCAGCAGCAGCCGAAGCCGCTTCGCAAATCGGCGTCAGCGTCAGCGGCAACACCAACAGCTGGAATTCCTGGGGATTCCCTGCTCGCGCCTCTGCCATGAGGGGACTTCTGGAGTTTCCCGCAGCCGCCGCGTGTCCCTGGCTGGCTAACTGGGCGGGAGGGGCTGGAGCTTTCTCTCGCGCGCGCTCTCCCTTTTTCTTTTTTTCTCCCTCGCCTCTCGCAAGCGCGCTCCGGCTTTTTTTCCCCCTTCTCCTCCTCCTTTCTCTCCTCCCCACTACTTTTCGGCGGAGAAAGGATACCCGCGCGGCCTGAACTGTCAAGCCGCGCGCCCGCCGTTGCCTTACTTATAAACTCCAAGCTAGCCCCGCCCCGCCCCTCCCTCGCCTCGGAGCCCCGCCCATTTGCGGGGGCTAGGGAAGGTCGCCCTGGCGACGGGAAACAACAAACTTTACTCTCTCCAGCACGTGGGGAGGGGAAAGAGGAAGGAGGGGAGAGAGAGAGAGAGAGAGAGAGAGAGAGAGAGAGAGACGCACATACTCTCTCACACATACATACACACACAGAGAAAAAACAAGGGTTGGGCCGTGACGTCAGAGGAGCAGCTGGCTGGCAGCTCGCGCGCGCCGCTGACGCTGGCGAGGAGGGGCCCACGAGGCCCTCGCCGGCCTTCGACGTCCCCCCCCTCCCTTTTTTCTCCTTTCTCCCGCCGGGCCGCGCTCACACCTGCCCAAAGCCACGAGAAAGGGAAAGCTGAGCCGGACGCTTCTGGGTTGGGGATATCCTAAGGGTTGGCCGTGAGGGTGGCTCATCTTCGAGGAAGCCGACCGGGCAAACGTCCGGCTTGTAATGCAATCCCATTAGGATTGTTACTTTTGATATTAGGAGAGTCCGATTCCGAAGAAGCGCTCCACTCCATGCAAGAGGGGTCTTGCTTGATACATTCTCGAGAGGAGGGAAACTTAGTTTTGAGGCAGATCCCCCTCCCCCGCAAGGACATAACCCTATAAAGATAAAAAAAAAACTACCTCTGAACAGGATTGCAAACCAAAAATATGGGGTTAACCTACTGCAAAATTGTGCCCTGTGAGGTGTCTTCCCGTCCCATCCCCCAGAATAATTTGATATACTGACCAATCTTCAATCTTTAAGGGCTGACCCACCCTGGACTAGTATCAAGCCTGCCTGCACAACTCCAGAGCTAATTAGGTTCAAACTAAAGTCACTGTTAAAAAAAGCTTATGCTGCATTTGACCATGCTAATGGAAATTGTAATAGAATTTCTCACAATTCGAGCAATTTCAAAAGAGGGAACTTTTTCTTCATTTTGTTTTTATTTTTAAAAAAGAATACTGGAAAGGTTACAGAAGATAACTCCAGTTTTATGGCTGCCATCTGAATTTAGGTGAGTCAGAGTCTTCTTAATTGGCAGCAAAGTCTAGTGGAGATAAAATTCTTGCAAGTGTCAATATCCACCAAGACTCAGTTTTTGTTAATGATTTTATGACAAAAAAAGTAAAAAAAAATGTATTTTATTAAAAACATTTCTAGCCCACCCACTGTAATCCAAAATATTCTGAAGAAGATTGAGAGAGTAGGAATTGATTAAAAATGAGGGAAGGGAAGTAAAAATTATATTTGAGTGAGGGAATTTGTGTGCAGAAGTTACAACAGCTTTAAGAACATTCATCTGTGTCACAAGTTTTGATGTGTCACTTGGTTCTACTGTCCTTGCTTTAGCTGTTGAAAGGAAGAAGGAACATTTTGTCTTCTCCATTTGACAGTCCATTATTTTATGAGAAAAGTCTCCTTTTTAAATTGACTTCCAAATCTTCCAAAAATACATTTAAATGGAATATGCTGTTCTTTTTGTCTTTGTCAAGATTCTTTTTTATTTTGCAATTGCTGAGATGTGAAAAATAACTGTGACACTAACCAGAACAAATTATTTATGTGTGCGTGTGTGCACGCATGCACATGTGTGTATAACTGTACTTGACTATACTTACCTATAACTTGATACCTATGTCTAGGGATGCTTGTGAGGAATAAAGTTGCTTCCCAATCACATAACTGGGCACATCACATGTCTTTTCAATTTAATGGAGTTTTATTTCAAAGTTCAACTCAGTTCAAGGCCTCACTAATTTAGGTCTTTTGAGAGTGTAAATTCTATACAATGAAGTGCAATTATTTACATCATATTTAAGAAAATGAGGGTTTTCTGCCCTGCATGTGCATCTCGTAGATATATCTTCATGTACACCTGTACACTTACATTAAAATTTAGACATATCAATATTTTTGTTGCTCTTTATTGTTCTGTTTTCTCATATGAGTAGGAAAGAGGTTTGAATTGAGCAATATCAGTATTATTATACAGAAGAACCGGCTAGTAATGTGATACCCACTATTTGAGATTGTACAAATAATTTTACTCAGATAAAATAGACCGAATCAGTGTTTCTCTCAAAATCTCTGTTTATGGAAGTTTTTACTTTTTCCTGTGGTACCTAACCAGAGAAATATACAGAGAAAATATAGGGAAAGAGTTAGAAAAAGAATGGATAAGATTAAGCTGTAAAAAACATTTGAAAAACAACTGCCAAATTTAATCTTTACTATCATATTGTAAGTAGAAGGTTAGAAATCATGATGATAAACTGGAAACAACTTTCAGAAAAGGATTCTCATTTGAAGACCTTTTCATTAAAAATATGTATCGAGGATTATTTATTATTTCTAAATTTTCCAACCCATTTTTTTTTCTACAGTGCTTTAATTGGGGAAAGGGAATAGCCTTTGATTTGGGAAATGGTCTCAAATTATTTATTTTAAAATAAATATCACCAAGATTTATTTCTAATATCTGAGTTTAAGAGGGACGCTTTGAAGTAGCCGAGAGTATTTGTGTTATTAATAGCCAGGTACATCTGATTTACCTCCTCTTCCCCCATTTGATTAGGTATTTTCCATCTGTTGAAATTGCTAGCAACATTTTCATACTTTTCTTTTGAGACAGGAAAAAATATTCCACATCCTTCTTGAATTTTATCATAGGTGTGCCTGAGTACATGCATTTCACATTTGCAAAGTCCATTATTTCCTGGTTTCATCAGATTTATGATGATTACAATTCCTTAGAATATGTGAGATCAATCTATATAATAACTACATTTGAAAACCACTTAGTGAAAAGGAGGTGAGCTCCATATGGTGCTTTTGTGTTTGTAGGTGACTGTCTGCCCTGGCCCCACTTCTCAGATTGTGTTTCACACTTCAGTCCAAATTGGCAAGATATGTTGAAGATTTGAAGTAAATGGTGAGGTAAGTGCCCTGAAGTTTAAGAGGTTCTTTATCCATAGAATGGAAATAGATATGTATAGTGGTGGGATTCAAATAACAACTGGTTCTCTGCCCTAATAACCAGCTGGGTAGGCGTGTGTCAGTGGTCATGTGCCTGGATGGTCATGGCCAGTGGGTCGATGGGTGCTTCGCCTTAGCTGTTACAATGTAATAAGGGTTAACCAGAGAGCCAGTTTCTGTAAGCAAGGCAATAAAGATTAGGCTAGAAACAACAACAGAATGTTTCCTTCCTGCCTTCCTTACAGGATTAGCCCTGTAAAGTGGAAAAAAACCAAAATGAAATTTCTTCCAACAACCGGTTCTCCAAACTGCTTAGAAAGTTAACAGTGTTCCTGAATAGGTGCGAACTGGCTGAATCCCACCACTGGATATGTACATCATTT